GGGAGTGGGGGGAGGCGATGCTTAAAGCCTACAACACATGAAACCATACATATGAACATCTGATGGACTTGTAGAAAGAAAAGGCTAATACTTTTTACAAGGGAAAGGATTCTTTTCAAAAATCTTTTTTATTTTCAAAGTTTGCTTTCCTTGCAGCCTGCAGCCCTGTCTTTGTTACTCATTTTCTACTCAGATGCTCACAATTGTAAAGCTTTAGTTCTGGACTGTGATCTTTTCTTGGCCATGCCCCAGTTTCACCAAAAACTTAAGTCAATTCCCTGGCTAAGAACTCAATTACCAAGGTTACATGGTCACATGGGTACATCTTACCCTATCAGGGGCAGTGTAACAGCACTCTCATGGAAATCCTAGTCAACTAAGCCAGGGAAATTATTATTATTTGTGTATGTTTCTGCGTGAACCTGGGGCCTGGTTGTAATATATAATGTGGATATTTTGCGTGCAGAATGGAGAGAACTGCAAAAAACCACCAAACCTCTTTTTTCCTTTTTTTTTAAATGGGGTCAGGTAGGATCTACAGTATTGAGGACCGGTTAGATGACAACAATCCCGAATTGTATGAATTCTTATTTCTTCTTTTGTAAAATAAATATTAGATACATTTTTAAAGAAAAGAGGGGGGTATCTTTTGAGGTATGTCAGTGGGAGATTTTTAGAAAAGTTCATTTTCTTTTTATACGATTAGATAGAGGAGAAGTAGCTATTCTGTGTGTGTTTTGTTTGTGAAAATTCCATTTTGTTTACAGTGGTGACCCCTTCCATTCCACGTCTTGGTCATTTTAGACAAAGATATTGAACTGCAACACTTGGTATGTCATACTAGATTGAATAGTAGGTGTGGTTTTAACAAAGAAATTTGTGTAGGGCGTGTTTGTGTTCTTTTTGAACAATACCTGTCAATAAATATCGGTGTTACAATTTAATCAACTTGTCTGTGTTCTGTTCTGAAAGAATCAGTTGTTTTGATTAGTTTGCATTGTTTGCTTTCCTGAAAAAAAATACCACAGATTTCTAAAATTAGAATTGTAACGTGCACTTTGAATTTTAAGAATCTTGAATGATCGAGGGAGGTGGGGTCAGTAATGCCAACTGATTTGCTTGTGACAAGTTGGAAGAAATATTAAAAATCGTAAAAAACTTGCACCCAAAGCATTTTACTTTTTTTCTTGAGATAAAGCCCAGGCAAAGGAATGGGAGGGGGTTGATAAAGAGATCAACATGCAATGGATTAAGAAGAGGATAAAACCTTCCCGTTAGCACGAAGTGCGTGTAAAAATTATCAACAAACAATTGATTCGAACCTGGGGTAATTTTATATGGAAAACGCAGAGATTTATAAGCAATGGTAAAGTTTATATTGGATCTCTTATTGATGAAGGGTACAAGGATCTTTATTAATGTACCGTATCTCAACCTTTCACCTTCTGTGTAATTGGTTTTCAAAGTTTGGGACTCAGGCCGAATTTTATTAGTGAGATCATATTTTAAATTTATTTAACCCATTAGAAATACATTTGCTGTACGAAGACTTTTTATCATTATACAGTAAAAGATACGAATGTCTTTCTAAACTCTCAACATGTAACATTTTAAAATCCGTTTATATATATTAGTTATAAGTTATTGAATTCTGACTAAATCCTCAAAGTCGAGTTGTATATACACTGTCCTGCCAGATATGTCCTCAGGAGATCTGATCGTGCTTCTTTCATTCAACGTCTTGTGTATATACAGTATCCAAAACCAGTCACCTTGCTCTCTTTATAAGAACCGCTGTTTTGGGGACGCATTGTGGCAATAGACCAGACAGAATACCAATGAAGAATGCCATGGACTTTGCAATGGGTTTAAATTCTGTATAAATTCTCCTCGATCCAGTTTATACTAGCAGAGCAGAAAAAGTCAAGGTCTCCAAGATGCGAGCAGGCACTCGTGTAGTTATTATTTTCTCCTCAGCACAGTTCAGCAGTGGCGGATTTACAGAGGGGGGGGGGGGGGGGGGGGTCTGGCCCCC